CAGTCCATTCTCATGTGGAACTGTATGCTTCAGGTGACTCAGCATCTTGCTTCTTGAGGTTTGGTTTCTCTTTGCTGTCTGTCTTCTGTCTGTTCTCTCCTTTTCGTCGTGGTTGTTTCTCAATTGGCATCTTGTGCCAAATACTGTATGAACTTGCTTATTCAAATTCTGCTAAACCAGATATTTGCGTTATCTGGCCAAAATTGTATCCGGATATTTTTCGGGCAAGTAAATTGAAGCGGACCCATATGGGCTAATAGTGCTTCTGCAATTTCCTTATTTCTTATGTTCATATTAGCAGGTAATAAATAGACGTGGAAATATAACATGGCCTTCAAGAAGACCTGGACAAAATAAGTGTATGGAGCACCACTTGGCAAATGGAACTTAATGTATATATATGCCATCATATAGAATGTGTAATAGGAGAAAATAGACCCACACAACCTACAAATTAAATTAAAAAGTTTTAAAACAAATTCTGATAGAGAGAGAGATCTTGGGTTGGTTCTAAACAGAAAATTGTCACCTGAGGACCACATAAAAACGTGTGATGAGCCTATGCTGCACTTTCCAATTTTAGAATTGCTTTTAAATACATGGATGATGAAATGTTAAAAGAAATTGTTCACGACCTTTGTGGGACCAAAGTTGGAATATATAGCGGTTGTATGGTGCCTATATCTTAAGAAGCACATCAACAAACTGGAAAAGGTGCAAAGATATGCAACCAAGTGGCTTCCGGAACTGAAAGATGAGCTACGAGGAGAGGTTAGAGGTATTACATATGCCAAAAATAGAAACCAGAAGAAAAAAAAATGATATGACCACTGCATACAAAATAGAAATGGGAATCAACAAAATTGATAAAGAATTCCAGAGAACTAAAACTTTGAAAACAAAAGGTCATAGATTTAAGTTAACTAAACAAAGGTGCTTAAAAAATAATAGAAAATTCACTGTTTGAACATAAGAACAAATGTAACTGCAGAAGGCCTATTGGCCCATACTAGGCAGCTCCTATTTATAACCACCCACTCCCACTCATATACATCTCCAACCCATGCTTGAAACACTCAAGGGATCCCCACCTCCACCATGCCACGTGGCAACTAGATCCACAAATCCACAACTGGTTCCACAAATCAACAACCCTGTTACTTAACCAGTATCCACCCAGGTCCCTCCAAAATCCAAACTCACTCAGTCCACACCCATTGGTTCGTGCTCCGTCCCGTGCCGACACTTCCAACACCCCACCATGTTGTTTTAGATTCAGCTACTTAGAACAAAGAGTTGCAAGTAGAACGGGCTATGGTGAAACCGTAGTGGACTTACCTGTCTGTTGTTGTAGTTGTTTTAGATCTAGCTACTTAGAACAAAATGTCCATGTAGCATGGGCTATGGCGAGTCCGTAATCGAGTTCAGTTATTCGCGATAACCTTGTTACTGTGATATTTGGATCAAAGTTTTAAATGGAGGTGGGATTTCCTCCTCTTTCCGTTTCTTTTTTTGCTTCTGTTTTAGTGCACTGGTTTTAGTCTTAGTTTATTAATAACATTATCTTATCTATAATAACATTACCTTTGCAAACACAGTGGTAGACGGTTGGAAAAAATTAAGTGAGAAAGTAGTGGAGGCCAAAATTATCAATAGTTTCAAAGCCTTATGTGACAGTGCTGGGAAGATGGGACACCACGAGCATAGCTCTCATCCTCTAACTACACTTAGGTAATTACACTTAGGCAATTATACACGCACACAACACAAATCAGCCACGATAGAGAGGGCTGAGCAGACTGCATATTTTTGGACTGCCAGAAAGCCTTTGACACAGTACCATATAAGAGACTATTGCCCAAGCTAGAGATGCAGGCAGGAGTGAAAGGGAAGGTACACCACTGGATAAGGGAGTACATAAGCAACAAAGACAGCGAGTCACTGTGAGGGAGGTCTCGGAGCGGCGAGGCGTCACCAGTGGAGTCCCACAGGGATCAGTCCTTGGACCTGTACTGTTTCTGATACTGTATACGTAAATGATCTCCCAGAGGGAATACTCGTTCCTCTCAATGTTTGCTGATGGTGCAAAAATTTATGTGGAGGATTAAAACAGAAGATAGTATAAGGCTACAAGATGACCTAGACAAACTGAAGACAAACTAAAGTTCAACCCAAGTAAATGTAAGGGATGAAACTAGGCTGAGGAAATAGGTGGTCAGACACTGGATACCAAATGGAAGAGGAAGTCCTTCACGAAACGAACAGAAAAAAAGATCTTGGAATTGATATCATGTCAAACTTGTCTCCTGAAGCCCCATCAAAAGAATAACATCGGCAGCATATGCGAGGCTGGCTAACATCAGAACTGCCTTCAAAAACCTGTGTAAGGAATCCTTCAGAACCTTCTATACCACATATGTAAGGCCAATCCTGGAGTATGCGGCCCCAGTGTGGAGCCCATGCATTGTCAAGCACAAGACGAAGCTGGAAAAAGTTCAGAGGTATGCCATTAGGCTAGTCCCAGAACTAAGAGGCATGAGTTATGAGGAAAGGCTGTGTGAACTGCACCTCACATCACTGGAAGACAGAAGAGCTCAAAGAGACATGATCACTACATACAGAATTTGAAATTTTTATGTGGTGATATTCAAGGATATGTGGTGATACTCAGGGAAATTGACAGGGTAGACAAGGATGGATTATTTAACACGGGTGGTACACGCACAAGGGAGTGGTAACCGAGTACCCAAATGGGCTACAGGATGTTAGAAATAACTTTTTCATTGTCAGAGTGGTTAACAGATGGAATGCACTAGGAAGTGATGTGGTGGAGGCTGATTCCATATACAGCTTCAAATGTAGATATGATTGAGCTCGAGAAGCTCAGGAATCGGTACACCAGTAGATTGATGGTTGAGAGGCGGGACCAAAGAGCCAAAGCTCAACCCCCGCAAGCACATCTAGGTGAGTGCACTTACATTATTTTTAAATAGACAAAATTATGTAATTACTCTTGTATGAATAAACTATTCAAGCAACTTCATCTCAGGCCATAAGTGTTTAACTACATAGAATGTCACTATATTTACTTTTTATTTATTTATATATACAAGCGTTCTTACATTCTTGTACAGCCACTAGCACGCGTAGCATTTCGGGCAGGTCTATAATCCTATGTTCCCCGGAATATGACCCCACCAAATCGTTTAACAACCAGGTACCCATTTTACTGTTGGGTAAACAGAGGCTCAGAGATTGACGCCCAGTAAATCCTCCCCAGCCAGGATACGAACACAGGACAAAGCGCTCGTGAAACGCCTGGTGTCCCTCTTGACTACTACACCATGGGGACTGCACATATTGTATTATAAATACAACCAATAAGTATACTAAGAACATAATGTACAATATTTTAGTTGCAAACTAAAACCAAAAATTTATTCTGGCCTCTTTTCTCCTACAATGATTTGTATTGTTTTCTCACTGAGTTATGTTTAGTCTTTTTTTTTACATTTCTATTAAGTAAAATAATTATCATTTCATATTTACATTAATATAATAATGATAATGGCAAACAAGTCTTGAAAATAAAATGTTATGCCCAATGATATACTGTGTAGGCTATACAGTATTACAGTACAGTACACTGAAAATATCCATCATTCATATAACAATGTACAAAACAACTTAGTTTAATACTACGGAGTCTGGGTGCCAATTTTGAAGGCAAATGGGCTTGGCTGAGCATTACACGACCAACAAAAAATTCTTTGCAACTGTAATAGTCGATTGGGGGGGGGGGGATTTCAAATTTTTCATTCAATAACCATGAAAGATTATAGCAGTTAAGGGTTAACATGTAGTATAAAATGTTCGTAATGCATTGCAGTTCTGCTTCATGCTTAGTAAACAGACAAATATGATCAATGACAACGAGCACTATCATTGTCATGTCATAAGCACTGACAATGATACTGTCATTGTCATGAGCACTGTGCTGGCAGGCTGAAGATTTCATTAATTCTTAAGTAACATTGGTGCAAGTATTCTTCTGAAAGGATGCAATATGGTATCTAATGCTGTGAAATGTGTTTTTGTGATAGTATTAAATCAAAACACTTAATTCATGAGAAATTTCTCACTATTATTCACTCTCTAATACAGTTAGAAAACTATATTAAATCAACAATCTACAAAATTTTACCAAAGACTCCTAGGTTTGTTGTAATAAACTCCGTTTAAGCTGTCAGATACAGGCGAGTTTTGCCCTGTCTGTGTTTTCAAGCCCACCTCAATGACTTTATTACCTGTAAAAACCCAGACCAATCCAACTTAATACAATGCAACCTAATACAAGCCAACCTAACTTAGGCATACCCATCCTCATCTAATGATCAAGTTTTTTTAACAAGTAGAAAATCTGCTGTGTGTGAATCCCCTTTATAAGAACTCACTGTATTATATATTCAACTGTCTGCTTTACAACATGCCCCTAGACTTGCTAGTGGTGATACTGGTAACTACTTGCATAGTTAATGCATGCTAATATTTCCCACTTTAAAACATTAATAAATGAATATTCACTGTTTAAAGCAAAGACACAAACTTCTTGAAAGAGAAAGTGGAAGGTCAATAAAGCCAAACATAAAATACACCAACAAGCCACTCCAAAAATAAAGAAAACAAAACGCCTCATTAAATGTCCGCAAACGCTATAATGACACGGCATTATTATGCAGCAAATCATTATATAAGACTCACATCACAACGAACTACGTTTCCTAGCTAATATATATATACCACGTACAACAGCTATGATGCCCAAACAGCGGATCAAATATAAAAACAAAACCTAAAACTCAACAATAAGCGTTAGCAATAACAATTACCCCCGGAGGCTATACATCAACAACAACTGATTTCTGCATCAACAGCCTCTCATATTCCCCCCCAAACACACACATGTCCCTATTATCCCTGCAATGGTGGCTCCTCCTTACCTCTGGGGTGGGGGCAAGAAGGTGACGTCGTTTCCTCTCCCTGCAAGGTGAAACCAGCCGCGCTACAGCTGCTAAGGCGATATTCCAGTTACCAAAACACGTCCATAGTGTTTTCGTTTTCGTCCTTGTGGAGTATCGGCTTCGTGACGTAGCGCGGGCGGCGGGTTGCGGCGTCTATTGCGGAAACAAGCGGCCCGGAACGCCTTCCGCGCCCCGACCCACGCGATCACACACGCTTTTTTATAATCCCAACAATTGATTAATCCGAATGTATGCTTGATGTGCTGCTTGCCAGCGTATTGTTAATCAATGAGTGATTATATATTTTTCTGGTTGTTCTCATCGCTAACACGTTTCTCTCGCAGCGTATAGGAAACAAAACCGTCATCAATTGTGCTTAATTGCAACTCGTTGGAGATGAAGAAGTGAATTATACCTGTAAATTCTCCGTCAGGGAACAGCCAGATGCTCGCGTTGTAAATCTGGCTCACGGCTTCTCCGTCTATTTGAAGTTGCATTTGGTATAGAATTTGGCATCGCACAACCTTACCATGCAAGCGCGACGTCAGTACTGACACGTCACAATATTTCAACTTCCTAAAATTATACAAAATATAAATGTAGACCTAAATGTATGTACTCACCTAATGCTGCAGGCGGGGGTTGAGCTTCGGCTCTTTGGTCCCACCTCTCAACTTGTGTACAGATTTCTGAGCCTATTGGCTTCTATCATATCTACATATGAAACTGTATCGAATCTGCCTTTACCTCATCACTGTCTTACGCCCTTCCTTCAGATCACAAAGAAATCACAATGGCGTGATGTAGCAATGAGAAAATCCTTGAGGCAATGGGATGGCTAAAACTGGCGTTCTGGTGATTCCCAGACACCTGCCTGAGATCTGAATTTAGCAGAGTTGCATGTTTATCGGCTTTGTAATAATAATAATAATAATAATAATAGTTATTTACAAGAAGGTACAATGGATATGTGAGATTACACAAAATTGGTATTTTGACATTCTTGCAAAGCCATTAACACGCAGAACGTTTCAGGCTTTAGTCCTATCTTGGCGGAGTGGGTTAAGGCTGAGTGCCTTATGACTGGATCACGAGGACAGCAGTCCTCGCCTCGCCATCCCCGACTTAAGACCCTGCGCCTTCTCGCCTAGCCGATCCGGCGTTGAAAAGGCCTCATTTACACCGTGTAGCTGGGTATTATAATATATTTTCTCTAAATTTTTTCTTATGAAATGATAAAGCTACCCATTTCATTATGTATGAGGTCAATTTTTTTTTATTGGAGTTAAAATTAACGTAGATATATGACCGAACCTAACCAACCCTACCTAACCTAACCTAACCTATCTTCATAGGTTAGGTTCGGTTAGGCAGCCGAAAAAGTTAGGTTAGGTAGGTTAGGTTGTCGAAAAACAATTAATTCATGAAAACTTGGCTTATTAGGCAAATCGGGCCTTGCATAGTAGGCTGAGAAGTGCGTTCTGGCTACTAGGTACGACATATATATATATATATATATATATATATATATATATATATATATATATATATATATATATATATATATATATACACATTGGTGTATACTGGCAGCAGGTTTTTTTATGCATGTCTCATTGAAGATGACAGCATATTCCGTATATATTATTTTCTGATTTAGGGCTTCTATATCCCTCTTAGTAATGCTCTGCATCAGGGTTCAGCTGGAAGAGGAGTTCACCAAAAGTTATATATATATATATATATATATATATATATATATATATATATATATATATATATATATATATATATATATATATATATATATATATGTTGGTAAATATGACCGAAAGAGTAAGATTAATAATTCTAACACGAATTTTCTCAATATTTCTTGTTTCTTTTCACTGTCGATGGTAATTGAAAAATCAATTCTCCAAAATTCATTTTTATTTCTAGTCTGACGCGACGCTTAAACACGTTTTGTAATAACTTATTACATTTTCAGACTGGCTGGCTTGATGTCCAAAGAGCTTGGAAAGGATGTGGGAGGAAGAAGGATGGGGCGATGAAATTCTTGGAAGAGGATTTGGATGTGGAGAGAGGAGGCTTGAAAGTTCGGTGGCCTGTCCACCTTGGATTGGAGATGTTTTTTCAGTCAAAGCCTGTAGCTTAAGTTCTTCTTGGGCGGCAGGAGGCTAGTGGTGGGGCAGGGTGATGTCGTCCTGGTTCACTTGAGGTGGTCTGTCTGGCTTGGAGGAGGCGTCTTCCTTATTGAGGTGGTGAGAGGTAAGTTCACTGTTGCTTGGTGGTGTCTTGGCCACGAGGTATTCGCATGTACTTCCCAAATGACATCGGTGGTATTGGTGTTCCTGTCGGGTCTTCATCTTCTTCCAGGAAGGTCACTTATCCCCTCTTGAAGTCGAATTTAGGGTCGATGTATTCACTCTCCAGAGCGAAGAGGTCAACATAATGTTCCACGGTCTCGTGGTGGACAAACACAGGGTATGGAAAGCAGGTCTTGAGCTGGTTGATGATCCTGTTGCATTCTAAGGCAATGACCGTTCTTGTGCTTCGATTGCCGTTAAAGTGCCACCGTGATTGAGGTAAAGTCCATAGTAGGGCTTTTTCTTGCTTGATTTGCTTGGGTTTAGGTCGAAGTCTGGGGCCTCATATGTGACGGTCTCAGCTGAGGTAGATGAAAACAATGGTGATTCTAGGAACTCTGGTGCTGGTTCTGGTTCTGAATCTGATTCCACTTGCCGACGTTTTGCTCTCCTTTTCATCCGTCCCCGGCTGGTGGGGGCAGGTGATGAGGTTGACTGGTCTGCTGTGGAGGTAGTCTGGGTGGATGCTGTTGCCTGGGTGACTTGTGCTGGGTTCGACTCCGGTGGTGGTGGTTGCGGTATGACTGCGGTTACTGTTGGTGTTGGAATCTCGTCTGTTTGGGTTGAAGCAGCGTTGTGGTGTTGAAATAGGTCTGCTGGTATCAACATTGTAGGCAGGTTGTTCTGGGCGAGCAGCCTGTTCAGTACTCTCACGTATTTTGCGTTGTCTGTTCCCGCCTCTCTCTCAGCTACACTGATCAGGCATGGGATGAGAGTGGTGTTGGTCGAGGCCGCTGATTGGTTGACAGTCAAGTTGGTTGGCTGAGCTGCAGTCGCCCGTGTCCTGGGTCCCCATTGGGGGGGTGGTCTGGCCTGGTGTGGACGTCTGTGTAGCAGGAGCAGGCTACACAGGCATTCAGGCAGGCATTCAGACTTTAGTTTACACTCACAACTGTAACCTGAAAACACTAAACAGAGTCAGCTAATCTGTCATACTTATACTCGCATTTGGGTGATGTGATATGGTGCAACAGTTTTGGATGAGGTGAACAAACTTGTGACAAATACAAGACAAAACACGAAACTGTGGGTATTAATTGGATATGAGAGCATAAGAATGGAAGTAACTGCAGAGGGCCTATTGGCCCATACTTCCTCTTGATGCTTCTATATTGGTTCGGAGTCTTGAAGTGGGTAGAATATAGTTGTGCATTAATTGGCTGTTGATTGCTGGTGTTACCTTTTTGATGTGTAGTGCCCCGCAGATGTCGAGCCGCCTGCTATTGCTGTACCTATCGATGATTTCTGTGTTGTTTGTTAAGACTTCTCTGGTGATGGTCTCGTTGTGAGAGGAGATTATATGTTCCTTTATGGAGCCCTATTGTTTATGCATTGTTAATCGCCTGGAAAGAGATGTTGTTGTCTTGCCTATATACTGAGTTTTTTGGAGCTTATAGTCCTCAAGTGAGCATTTGAAGGCATAGACGACGTTGGTTTCCTTCAAGGCGTTCTGCTTTGTGTCTGGAGAGTTTTTCATGAGTAGGTTGGCCGTTTTTTGGTTTTATAGTAAATCGTCAATTGTATTTTCTGTTTTTTGTCTGTAGGAATAACGTTCCTATCAACAATATCCTTCAGGATCCTTTCCTCCGTTTTATGAGCTGTCGAAAAGAAGTTCCTGTAAAATAGTCTAATAGGGGGGGTACATGTGTTATGTTAGTTGACTTTTCAGAGGTTGCATGGCGTTTTACCTTTCTTTTTATGATGTTTTCAACAAAACCATTAGAGAAGCCGTTGTTAACTAGGACCTGCCTTGCCCTACAGAGTTCTTCATCGACTTGCTTCCATCCTGAGCTGTGGCTGAGAGCATGGTCGACGTAAGCATTGACGTAAGCTCCTCTTGTACCTGTCTGGGCAATCACTATTGGCACTGAGGCACATTCCTATGTTTGTTTCCTTAGTATAGACTGCAGTGTGGAAGCCTCTGTTCCTTTCCGTGACTGTTACATCTAGAAAGGACAGCTTCCCATCATTCTCCATCTCGTAAGTGAAACTCAACACAGAATTCCGCTCGAATGCCTTTTTCAGCTCCTGCAGACGTCTGACATCAGGTACTGTTACGAATCCATATATATTTGATTCTAACATTCATCATGATAATGTCCATTATTTCTTTCCTCAGTTATTTAAATAAAGCATTGTATCCAGTTGTGTTCCAGTATACATATATGTTTGATTTGAATGTAGCATGCTGTAGTGTGCCTGTATTTAATATTTGTTAATGCTATTGCATGTTCATTCCTGTGGGGGGAGACCGTGGCATCTCATGGGGGGATGACCATATTTGGGATGTTCCAGTATGCGTGCAGTGTATCAAGCTAGCGTCACTGATTCACCCCTGTAATTATTCCTGTTTATTGATAGTATTTAATTTCTTATTTACACCTTAGCAGTGTTATAGGCATATAAGTTAGCTATAATTATGTTCTTTAGTGTTACTCTTTGAGAGCAGAGTATCTAGAGGTTTCATGTGGGTTTTAGTTGGTACCTTGTAGACGCCATGCCGTGCATGCTCGAGCAACGCCAGTCCCGTGAGTGGAGCTGGCTGGCGTGGACATGTTGGGAGTTAAGTCTGGTCCTTGTTTATTGCTTAGTAACATAGCTGATTTTCTGGTTAGACCATTATGTGCATACCCATCTATCCATTTAAGTTGTAAAGTAGTGATCGGTGATTATATAATGATATTGATTTATTGTTTTCTGGTGCATTAATATTTCTGGCTGCCTGTATTTCCATTTATATATTTGTATGTTCTTTGTTACCCTTACTT